GGCCGCCCCGGGAGGAGCGAGCCGGACGTGCCACCTGCAGTGCCGGCTGGTGCTTTTTATTTACTAGGGAACAGTTCCTCGCGGGAGAGTCCGGGAGCGCGCCGGCACTCGTGCACACACACGCGCGCGCACATACGCGCACACACGCGCACACACACACAGACACGCTGGCGCGCTGGCTTTTCACTACTGCATCTCCTAACTGGCGGAGCGAAGCGACTGCAGGTTCTCCAAACCTCAGCATCGTGGGGCCGAGCAGAGGCATTGTCATCAGGGCGAGCCCGGTGCCTGCGCTGCTGCCTCAGGTACCTACCCCAGCAGACCATCGGGTAAGCTCGCCTCTCTCCTTGTGACCTGTTCGGGTTTGGTGCCTGCAGCAGACCCGAGGGAGAGGGTAGTGGGAGACGGCTGGTGCGCCAGTGGGCGCGAGACCCGGAGTTAACATTTCAGGGGCATGCTGCCCCTGCAGCCTCTGCCAGTGTTGTCTAGCGGGAGCAATTAGTACTCCGGTTACTTATGCTTCCAGCCCAGGAGTTGCTGTCCCCTTCTTCCCTTCCCCCCAGCCCAATATGTGCTGTGTTCCTTGGTTGCCAAGGAGACTTGCTTAAACATCAGCCTTGGGACATCTATTGAAAAAACAGGTTTCTTAAATGATGCTGTTATTTATTTTGATTTTTAAAGTAACATAATACACCGAGGGCCTTGTGGTAATTTGGCATTCATTAATCTGTATTCAAGCGATGGTTTCATTCAATTTCAAGAAAAACCGTAATTGCACGATATGGTATGCTTTAAAAAGGATTCGTCAGATGAATTTTTCAACGGATTGTGTCTTGAATCATAAATTACTCTCATTTTGGAGATCTTATAAAGAAAGCTAATTTCAACTTAAATCCCTTTCCCCCTCTATTTGCAGTTCTATTTTGCAGTTTACTTAGGTGTGATTATCTTAAGCATTAAAAGTGGAAGATGATTTAATTGTGGTTCCCCGCAATTAAAGCATGATCTTCTGTTGTGAACTGGCCACAAAAGGAATACATATTTATGAATTCCTAATGTGACAAGACAACGATCGTGACATACACCTTAGAAAGCATTTCTATATCCATTGCACCACTATGTGCAGTTTTCTGCACCTCTGCCCATTTCTGGAAAGATTCTGCTTTCTTTCAAATGTCTTACTAATTTTTTTGAGATATATCTATATCTTTGTGTCTATGAAGGTAGATGGTGTGCTCAGTACTCCAGAGTTTAAGCTATTAGAAATTATATTAAATTGTAGGGTTTTTTTCTTTTCTTATGGACCTTCCTGGAATGCTGATGAGGCCCGGCAGAAGAGATCAGTGGTTCTATTTCACAGGTGCCCCTAGTACCTGGGCCTTCAGTTTTGTTTTGCAGCCTCAGGTAATTAGTGAGTAAACTTGTAATAAGATAGTTGAAGGCATCAGCAATTCAGTAATTTACACTGTGCACTTTAATACTTTAATACTTTTCATACTTTAATCAGAAACAAAAATGACGTAGTAAAAATCCACTGCCATTTAAAAGTTCATTTTGCTTTCTTTTGATTATTGTTCATCTTTGTTAAATGAGACAAGAAAATAAGTAAAATTCTTTACTTTAGATTTTAAACTGTGTCATATGTATTGCAATAATATGAGAAACAAGGAAACAAAATAATGGTAGGTAGAAGGGACTTACACAACTCATAGGGCTCTGGGAGATGATTCTGATGACAAATGTTGCATTGTAGTTTACAAAGGACTTTTCATATGCTTTTTTTTTTGAGACCTTGTTGCCTCAGCTAGCATGCAGTGGAGTCATCATAGTTCACTGCAACCTCAAACTCCCTGGCTCAAGTGATCCTTTTTCTTTAACCTCTCAAGTAGTTGGGGCTACAGGTACAAGCCACTTCATCTTGCTAATTAAAAAAAAAAACTTTTTTTTGGCTTGGCACCTGTAGCTCAGTGAGTAAGGGTGCCAGTCACATATACTGAGGCTGGCGGGTTTGAGCCTGGCCTGGGCCTGCTAAACAACAGTGACAATTCCAACCAAAAAATAGCCTGGTGTTGTGGCAGGCACCTAGTCCCAGCTACTTGGGAGGCTGAGGCAAAAGAAACGCTTAAGCACAAGAGCTTGAGGTTGCTGTGAGCTGTGACGCCATGGCACCTACTGAGGGTGACATTGTGAGACTGTGTCTCAAAAAAAAAATTTTTTTTTTTTTTTGAGATAAGGTCTTGCTGTATTGCCCAGGCTGGTCCTAAATGTCTGGTCTCAAACCCCACGCAGTACCCCAGAAGTGCATTAATGTACATAGTTACCATTCAATTAAAAAAAAAAAAATGTCTGGCCTAAAGCAGTCCTGCCTCTGTCTCCCAAAGTACTGAGATTACATGTGTGTACCGCCATGCCTGGCCTCAGGTGTACTTCTTTTTAAACCCTGATAAACAGCCTTGAGATGTCAAGATATAACCTGTTTAAAGCTGAGGAAGCCCAAAGTCACAGGGCAGTTCTGTGGGGAAGCCCTTTCTGGATCCAGGCATCTGGCACTTGCACACCCCTGCAAAGGGGGCAGTTCTGTTATAGCAGATTATTGTTACATAGACTCTAAAACATGCTAGTTTCTCAAGGAAAACAGAAATGTGTGGATTTTATTTTATGTGGAGTGTCTTTAATTTGAAAAACTTTAACGACCACATTAAAAATATATCAGGATCCTGTCTGGCTTTTGGCCTGCTAGTTTGCCATCCATAATTACTGAGGTCTCATCCAATTCTAAGCTATTATGCTCTACTAGAATACTGATGTGAAGAGATACATCCATCATTATAAGAGTGATCAAGAGTTTTCTGATTTTAATATTAATCTCATCTCTCAGAGATAAAGGAAGTTTCAAATCAAGGAGCATAAAGTGTTGCAAAGTGAGAATTTCTGAATCTGGCGAAACAAAAGCTTTCCTACTTTAAAAGTTATGTTCCTGGCTTAGGTTTTTTTCTTGGCATAGGGCTAAGAAGTATAGAAAAAGTCAGTTGGGTGCTTGCCACTGTGAGAGGAGGTAGAATTAAAAGTTGGATGGCAAGTGGAGCCTCCTGAGGCTTTCAATGAAAACTTCTTATTAAGGTGTTAGGTAATTAGTTCAAACCCACCACTGAATACTGCAAGCTGCAAAAGGAACAAAAACATAAGTGCATTAAAAAGGATCATAAAATTTCAGCACCCTGGCTTAGAAAATGCTATTTATGCCCCAAGTTGTAGTATCTTGTAATGAAGCAAATGCTTTTGGAGAAGCATTTGCTTTCTCAGTTTCTACTGGGGCAATAGAGGCCTCAGTGGACTTCAGTGAAGCAAGTGGTCAGAATGAAGTGTTATTTTATTTATGCTGTTTCTTTTGCGAATCTAAAGAGGTAGAGTTTCCCAGAAAGCCAAAAGATTTGAATAGCATTGCTCTTAATGGTTCTCATATTCCAAAATCACCCTCTGTAAGGATGTGTTAATAGTAAATACAGGCATTTCAGTCTTCATCTTATGAAAATGTGTTTCACCCCTAGTAAAGAGCTATGCAGGTGTCAGTAAATACTGTTGTAACAAGATGGGACCCCGCAGCTCATCCTGTAATCCGAGCACTCTGGGCGGCAGAGACAGAGCAGACGGATAACTTGAAGTCAAGAGTTTGAGACCAGCCTGAGCAAGAATGAGACCCCATCTCTAAAAATAGCCAGGCTTTGTGGCAGGTGCCTGTAGAACCAGGTACTCAGGAGGCTGAGGCAAGAGGATCACTGGAGTCTAAGAGTTTAAGGTTGCTGTGAGCTGTGATGTCAATGCACTCTACTAAGGGTGACAGAGTGAGACTCTGTGGCTCAGTGAGTAGGGCGCCAGCCCCATATACCGAGGGTGGCTTGTTCAAACCGCCCCTGCCAAACTGCAAGAAAAAAACAGCTGAGTGTTGTGGTGGGCGCCTGTAGTCTTGGCTGCTCGGGAGGCTGAGGCAAGAGAATCGCCTAAGCCCAAGAGCTGGAGGTTGCTGTGAGCTGTGACTCCAGGGCACTTGTCTCAAAAAAAAAAAAAAAAAATGTTGTAACAAAGTTCTGGCTGGGTGCTGTGGAGGTAGCATGTCTGCCCTGAAGAATTCAGAGCAAACAAACGTACCGTGTCTGGCAGCTCCACTTTCCTAGTCCTTTGCACACACATTATTTTCCATATTGTCTTCGTGCTCCTATATAGTAGGCACCTTAGTTTTATTTTGTGGATGAAATATCCGAGACTATGTGAAGTTAATCTGGACCAATGAGAGAAAATTTGAAACCACAGCTGCTCTTCTTACTTCATGGCCCTTCTTCCCTGACTGTTACCTACTGGAAGTTATGGTCAGGTTTGTAATTATGATTTCAAGGCAGTTATGTGTTCAGTGTTACAATAGAAATACATAGAAGCACAGACACGGGGAGAAATAAAAAATATTTTAATTATGACGAATAGGTCAGACCCCGTGGATGCGGCACATGAGTGTGGAGCTTGACAGCTGGGTCTGGTGATGTTGAGTGAAGATCCTTGTAGCTACTGAAAGTTTGGAGGCGCTGCCAGATAGGTGGAAATGTGAGTTGAGAGGGTGGTGCTGGTGATGACTGATATTGATGAGCTAATTGTAGCAGAAGAAATATGGTCTCTGAGATGAAGTACTGCAAGAAAATGAGACTGGGAGGGGATGGAGGCAGCCAGATTAAGGAAGGAGACCAGGAGAGGAATTGTAGCCACAGAAAGAGAACAATCTGGAGAATGTAGGACTGATTCTTATCAAAGACTCTGAACGTAAGGGTATTAACTTCTTCATACAGAAACTGGTACACAGTAAATACCCAGGAAATAATCATGATGTGCCTGCATTTTTAATGTCCAATGACTGGCAGATAATTTTTCTGTTATCACTTTTCTATGGAAAGAGCATACGTAGATATTTGTGTGAATTCAATAGGACTAGACAACATTCTTGGATGTTCAAGAATGGGAGAAGATTCTGGCAAATTAGATGATAAACAATGTAATCATTTTCTTCTAGTAGAGTCAAGAGGCTCTTGCAGGTAAGAGATCTTAATGTTGCACAAGCTTTTGATGAAGTCTTGTGTCTTGGGACAACTAAAGAGAAATGTGAGCTCTATGTTAGCCACTTGAAGTGCTATACTCAAATATAGACGCACCAGAAATGGGAGGCAGATTTAAGTAGATTTAAGTACTAGATCTGGAATGACCAAGTTAGAGAGCTTGCCTGTTAGCATGATGGGCACAGGTAACAGGTAGAGCAGGCATCCTCAAACTACAGCCCCTGGGCCACATG